TGTGAGAAGAAAGTGCTCAACTCTTTTGCTGTATATATTTGGTTGGTGATTGATTATTAATTAGCATTTATATTCCTAATTATGGGGGTCCTTGGATATTTAGAAATCATCCATTATACTTTTGCCAAACCAATGCTCCAGAAATGTTCCCTTCATGATTAAAGGTTTTTGTTAATTGTACGTATTGAAATGTTTGAAATCTTAAGTGTAACTTGGGGGTTAGTAAGTGCCTTGCCCCATCATAGGTTATTTGAAACTGAACCGTTTCTTTTGTTTTTTGGTTTTATTCAAGAAAGTGGTTAAGCTCCTCTTTGTTTTCTCACAAGAAAAAAAAGCATTAGTCGTTCCTCAGCGTTAAAAATGTTCGAATCTTTCATGTTGATATGGCTGCCCAATTCTCATGGCGCTAGGGATCACCCTAGGCTCACACTCTATTGAAGTTAAGGCACTGCAAAAGAAAGAATTATATTCTTTATAAATTAATTTTAAGTGTGGCGGATAATTTTGAAGAATATGAATTGATAACTACTACAATAAACCAAGTAGTGAAGAAGTATGAATTCTTGAGGCCCATTGTATTCTAGATTTATGTAAATAGATTGTATTAAAAAGTATAATTAAAGAAATTGAATGGGAGTGTTGTTTTCTCTTAAAGGAATAAGATTTTATTAACAGTCAATTAAAAAAGTATAATAACAAGTAATTGCAAAAAATTGCTAGATGAAAATGCTAAAACAAAATACACTATCAATGCAAACTAGATATCAATGAAGAAAGAGTCATTTATTAGAAGAGGAGACCCAAAGGTCCTCATTTAATGTGTTTTATTTATTGTCTCTTGTGAGCTATAATAAAATTTCATCTATTTATTCCCCTCTTGGCATTAAGAATTTGAATTTTTTTGTTCATTAGAACTTTTGTTTTTGAAATACAAATATAAGATGATATATGCTAGGAATCTGAATCACTGAACCACCAATAGGATAATCTTCAAGAGCAATTGCCTCAATTGGATTTGGATTAATGATGAAATTGTGGGAAGGAGCAGGCTAAACATTACCATTGAGCTAAAATTCAGAGTGGGTGTTGAATCTAATATATGATCTATAGTTGCTTAAGCATTTTGCATACAAACCATCTCAAAAGTAATTAAAATGATAAACATTACATTAGAAAGGATGATATCAATTGACCACTTCCAAAATTCCTGCTAGGGGATGTCCACAATTTGGGGTGTGTCCAAAATCATTTAGAGAAGTTGCGACAAAAAATAGCAAGAAAAATAATATCAAGAAATGTCCTCAAATTCTAACTTTTTGTCAGTGGCTAAGGACAATGAAAACAATCTTTTTTTTTTCTCTAAACAGATAGTAATGTACGTTTCAACAAGGATCCTAGCCACTAATGGCTTTATAGCTTAGAAACAACAAAATCAAATTGAAGCAATTTACCGAAAATTGAGCCAAGAGAATAAACATGAATAGGTTGAAATAATGAATATGGAAGAGAGGAAAATAACCTACACTATAGTAATAGAGGATTCCTCAAAGCAATGAAAGTAAGGTGGTCAATGAAGCATCCACATTGGGAACTCATTAACATAGTATGATTTCCTTGAGAAGAGCCTTGAATAATCAATTTCTAGGGATATATTGATAATACTATAATGAGAATCAATAAGCACAATTAAATCATTCCTAACCAATCTCAAATCGACAAACAATCTCCATATTGGGGCAGCCCTAGGAATGCTTGTCAAAAAGAGAGAAAAAGGACATGCCAACTTTAATATCACTTCATCACAAAAAAGAGTGTAGGTTTACCTTGATAGGACAAGGCAATTTGTGAAAAGTTGATGCAGGATTTTGCTGAAAATATGTGGGGATTTGAGATGAGTAGGAAGGCTGAAGATTATGACCCTTGTCCTCTTAAAATATAATATCAAAGAACGAGAATCACAAGTTGAGGAAAATTTGATTGTGGCTGAAATCCTAGCTGCAGGGGAAGCCATAAGAAAGCATCACATTGCAGGAACGGTTGAGGTTCAAGTAGCAGAGAAGATGAATTAGCTATTGAGGGATTTTTTGGAGCCAAAAGAAGTGAAATTGGTTGACATCAAATATGAGAGGTTGAACAAATTTGATGAGAGGCAGGGAGAAAGAATAATTAAAACAAAATGGAAAGGATGCCACCCTATGCGTTAAAGTTAGGGATAACATAGAACCTAATGTTGATGCTAGGAGGAATCAATGCTAGTTATGATGATGGTGCTATGACTTGAGCGAAACGACCAATTACCAAAGATGAAGATACGAAAGAGAGTGATAGGGGCCGTTCCAAGCAAGGGTACATAGAGTGCAAGTGTGTATGAAGAATGAGCGTATATAAAGCATGCATCGAGAGTTGATAGACTTGAGGTTAAGGGCCATGAGATCTAATGTGGAATCTCATAAGGGCTAGAAAGTTGAGAGTATCAAGCACAGGGAATGTTTCCAATTTAGTGATGAATTGGAGTATGTTGAAGTGATATGGTTCCTCTTTCTATGTTTTCCTAAATAAAGTGTTGATCTATTTCAAAATATTTGGTCTGATCATGATGTGCAGGATTTTTCATAATGCTTATTGATATTTGATTATCCACTATAGTCTTATTGGCGCTTCTTCTAAGATGAACAGCTCTTTGAGAAGACTTCTCAACCACATTCCCTTAAAAAATTTCAGGTGTCATTGCTCTAAACTCAACTTTTGCACTACTTAAGGAAAGAAAAGATTATTTTTAGCTAGGAGTGTCTTGAGTATTTTTATATCTTTTCTAAAGTTCCATTGTGTGAATAATCTTATCTACATAAATAATCAGAACAAAAATTTTGATTGTTAGGTGATCTTTTATCAGAGCGAGTGTGATTAGCTTGACATTGTATGCACCTATAATATTTGACCACTTTGGTGAATTTGTCAAACCAAGCCCATTGGGATTGCTTTAAACCATAAACGGATCTTTTCAATTGATAGACTTCCTTTGTGATAGAACATGATCGATCCAATTTTACCAGAGGCGGAACATGCAGGTTCCGCCCCTCATGCTTGCTACCCCTTGATTGTGGAGTCCACTAGCTTAATTAAGAGGAAATTAAGGGGGATTTAGGAGAAAAAATTCAAATAAAAGGGGTTGTTTTGGGATTTACCTAATTATTATATACTTAAGGAGGTTTTGGGAGGCGAGGGTTAGGGGGTGATCTTGTTTTTCAGTAGTTTGCTGATTCTAGTTTCTTGTGTGAGCTTTAGTGGCATCTAGAGACTTGAAAGAGTCAGATCTTCCTCTCCAATTAAAGATCAAATTGTATATTGCTATTTTCTTTCATCAATTTGAGTTTTGGTGTGTTTATCTTAAAAAATTATTGTGTTGTTCATGGGTTTTTGCTGAAATTGCATCCAATTCCTTACAAATTGGTATCAGAGCATAGATCTGGGTACCTATGATGGGAAGAAAGGTGGAAGTATTGGAAGGAGAAATAGGGCAGTTGAAATCTGATTTCATGGAGAAGATTTCAGATTTTGAAAACAATTTTGCTTCCATGGATGAAAAGATGGATGGAAAGTTTGTTGTCGTGGAATAAATGCTGAAGAAGTTGCTTAAAGTCACACCAAAAATGATGACAACAGAGACAAGGGGAGCCACCGATGACCAAGAAAGCGGAGGAAACTCTAATCCGGTTAAGGGAGAGGAAAATCAAGAGGTGGATATTTTGGCGGGAGAAGATGGGGTGGCTCCTCTAGAATCTATTTCTAGAGAGGAGATGACTTGTGAGTACGAGTGAAGGGGTGCTGATTTTGCAAGATTGGTGGATTATGAGCTCATGGGTGCTGATTTTGAAAGGAGAGGGGGATTTTGAAGAAGGATTTGGGTACGAGCGCAAAAGGGAGGATCGAGACACCTTAGGAGCACCTCCACTTCGTGGAATGGGAGGCTATGGAGGATTTAGGGGAAACGTTGGAGATCCAAGAGTGAGGAAGCTAAAGATGTCCATCTTTAAGGGAAATGATGCACATGGGTTGATCTACAAGGTGGAGAGGTATTTCGCTGTCAACGGCTTGACGAAGGAGGAGAGGTTGAAGACAACGGGTCTATGTTTGGAAGGGAAGGCATTAGCTTGATACTAGTGGAGGGACATGCAATGACCCATACGAAGCCGGATGGAGTTCAAGGATTGCTTGTTTGAACTTTTCCAAACCAACAGGTGAGGAGAATTCTATGAACAATTTTTCACCCTAACATAGAAGGGTTCAGGAGTAGAGTACAAGGAGAGGTTCGAGTTCCTCACTAGCCATTTGGATCACCTTTCTTAAACGGTGTTAGAGGGGAATTTCATGAAGGGACTCAAACCATAAATCCAGGCAGCAGTTAGAGTGATGAGGCATCCGGACTTAGGAGAGGCAATGGAGCTAGCACAATTAATGGAGGATCATAAGCACCTGAAAAGGGGGGCCAGAGGAAGCAGTTCAGAAGGCTCGTATAAGATGACTATCACATTCTTAGTTCCTAAAAGAACAACACCGGGAAACCTTCGTGCGGCCCCGAAGGAGAAGCTTGTAGGAGAGGGATTCAGGGGAAATTTCAAGAAGCTCACTGAGATGGAGCTGCAGGAGAAACGGACGAAGGGATTGTGCTTTAGATGTGATGAGAGGTACACTCCGGAGAATAAGAATAAGGATCAAACTATTCAGGTTCTCATCGTCTATAATAACAGGGAAGCTAAGGAGGGAGGTGAGAATGTGGCTATGGTAGAAGAGTTGGAAGAGATGCATCTTGACATGGTCGAAATCTCCTTAAACTCAGTGGTGGGGTTCATCTTGAATCACACCATGAAGATGAAAGGAGAGATAACAGATAGACAGGTAGTGGTGCTAATCGACAGTGGGGCTACTCACAATTTTATCTCCATTCAGGTCATTGGCCAATTGAAGGTGAAATTGGTGGACATCAAGGGTATGGGGTAATGATGGGCACTAGGAAGGTGGAGATGCGCAAAGGAGTATGTAGGAGAGTTGTACTGACTATACAAGTGGTTCAAGTGAGGGAGGCTTTTCTCCCATTGGAGTTAGGGGGGCACGAACTTCATCGTGGGGATGAAATGGTTGTAGACCTTGGGAGGTACCAGGGTCAATTGGGGGGATCTAAAGATGGAGTTGGTGATGGAAGGAAGAAGAGCGATGATCTGGGGAGATGCGGAGTTGTCCAAGGCCATGATGTCTCTCAAAAGCATGGTCAGGACCATACAGGAACTTGAAGGAGGATTTCTGGTAGAATTGCAGAACCTAGAAGGGATCAAACTAGAGGAGGAGACATTCCTCTGTCAGTGCAACCATTCATACAATAATATGGAAAGGTTTTTCAATCACTTCAAGACTTACCGCCACCGAGGAAACAGGAGCGTGCCATTACCCTAAGGGAGGAGGGTGTCACCGATCAGTATCTGACCCTATAGTTATTCCCATATTCAAAAGGACGAGAGTGAGAAGCTGATCTGTGAGATGTTGGAGGTGGGGATCATTAGATCGAGTCTGAGTCCTTTTTCTAGCACAGTTTTTTTGGTCAGGAAGAAGGGCGGGAGTTGGAGATTCTATATTGATTACTGAGCTCTGAATAAGGAGACTATACTAGACAAGTTTTTTATATCGGTGATCGATGAGCTACTGGATGAGTTGTGTGGGACAGTGGTGTTCATCAAGTTGGATCTAAAGTCGGGATACCATCAGATTAGGATGAGGGAGGAGGGTGTCCTGAATATTACTTTTAGGACACATGAGGGACATTACGAGTTCTTCGTGATACCATTCAGGCTCACAAACATCCTTGTCACTTTCCAGTCTCTCATTAACATGGTGTTCAAACCATATCTCTGGAAGTTCATGCTAGTTTTCTTTGATGACATACTAGTGTATACCAGGTCGAAAGGGGAGCACTTGGAGCATGTGAGGATGGTCTTGGAAGTATTACTGAGCATCAGCTTTGGGCCAATTTGAAGAAGTGTTGTTTTGTATAGGCCAATGTGGAGTACTTAGGGCACGTGGTCTCTTAGAAGGGGGTGGCTGCAAATCAGGCCAAGATTGAGACAATGTAGAAATTGCCTCTACCTAGGAATCTTAGAAAGCTATGGGGATTCCTAGGTTTGACAGGGTACTACAGGAGATTTGTGAGAGAATACAACACCATAGCTTGATAGTTGATAGAGCAACTAAAGAAGGAAAGTTTCCTGTGGGGAGAGACAGCTACACAGGCTTTTGAGAGACTGAAGGAAGCCATGTCCACAATACTGGTTTTGGCCCTACCAGGCTTCAGTCAAATCTTTGTAGTTGAGATGGATGCATCAGGATATGGGTTGGGGGCTGTGCTCATGCAGAATCGCAGACCCATAGCTTACTTTAGCCAAGTGTTGACAACCAAAGCTAGGTTGAAGTCAGTCCGTGAGAGGGAATTGATAGCCATTGTGTTAGCCATTCAGAAGTGATGACCATACTTGTTGGGCCATTATTTCATTATTAGAACAGACTAGAGGAGCTTGAAGTTCCTTTTGGAGTAGAGGATGGTGACTGAGGAGCATTAAAGATGGCTGTCAAAACTATTAGGCTATGATTTTGAGATTCATTATAGGACTTGATTGGAGAACAAGGCATTAAGGCAATATATGCCTTATCCAAATGCATGAGGGAGTTATAGGAGTTGGCTATGTCAATACCTTTGATGCTACATTTGGGGGGGGGGATCAAAGAGGAGAGTATGCATGACGTGGAGTTGAGAAAAATTATTGTATATCTTCTGAAGGATGAGAATAGTCACCCATGCTACTATACAGAGGGGGAGAGATTGCTATACCAAGGGAGTTTAATGATGCCTAGGATCTCAGTTCATATCCCATAGCTTCTACAAGAGTTTCACAGGAGCACTCTAGTATATAGAAGACATACAGGAGACTAGCAGCGAAGCTGTATTGGAGGGGGATGCACAAGGATGTGGAAGAGATATTTACTAGATGTGAGGTGTGCTAGAGGAACAAATACATGACCATGTCTCCTAGGGGGTTACTTCAACCCCTAGCTCTATTAGACAGGATATGGGAGGAGGTCATCATGGATTTTATTAAGGAGTTACCTCGATCTGAAGTGTTTACTGTGATTCTAGTGGTAATTGACAGATTAAGCAAATATGTTCACTTCATCCCTCTATGACATCCTTACACAACATTGACAGTAGTAGCCGCATTCATCAGGGAGGTGGTCAGACTACGTGGGATATCACAGTCTCTAGTATATGATAGAGATAAGGTGTTCCTCAATTATTTTTTGAGATAGTTGTTCATGATACAAGAGACGATGCTGAAGAGGAGCATTGCTTACCACCCCCAGACATATGAGCAGATAGAAGTGGTGAACAAGAACTCAGAGACATACCTATGGTGTTTTGCTTTAGAAACACCTAGGGTATGGGCCAAGTGGTTGGCATGGGCAGAAAATTGGTACAACACTTCGTATCACTCGGCTTCTCAGATAACTCCCTTCAAGGTGTTGTACGTAAGATATTCTTCACATTTGGTAATTTTGGGCAGAGCACACACCAATATCTTCAGTAGTGTAGTACTTGGAGGAAAAGTATAGGATAATGGAGGAGTTAAAAAAACACATGTTGAGGGATCAATAAATTATGAAGTAGGTAAATAGATATAGGAAAGACATTCAATTTGCTATTGGGGATCGGGTATTCTTAAAGTCGCGATTCTACAGACAGAAAACAGTAGCCAACAGAAGAAATGAGAAGCTAACCCCGAGTACTTTGGCCCTTATGAGGTATTTGAGAGGATTAGAGCATTGGCTTATTGCTTAAAGTTACCCCCGACTGCTTCCATACGTAAAGTGTTCCATTTATCATATGAGGAGAGTTGTGGGGGATTATGCAGCTAGTTTAGAATTGCAAGGAATGCGGATACATGATCTAGAAGTGGTTTTGTAACCACTTGAGCTTAAAGGGGTTCATCAGGGAGAGGGCGAGTCCAAGGAAGTGTTGATTAAATGGAAGAATTTACCTGACTATGATGCCACTTAAGAACAATACGAGAGAGTGAAGCATCAGTTCCCCTCCTTCCACCTTGAGGACAAGGTGGCTCTTTGGGAGGAGTATTGATAGACCGGTCCAAACAGGACGGTTCCAATTTTACCAGAGGAGGAGCAGGCAGGTTCTGCCCTCCATGCTTCACCTATAAGCAGAAGCAGGGAATTTGCAATAAAAATTGTGAACCACCGGTAAACTAAGGAAGTAAATTTGTGGTGCCAGGTTGTCACGCCGGATAGATCAGTTTACTTGCAAACAACAGGTGGGAGGCTCCTGATGAGACGTGCAGCTCATTTGCAAGCTTACACTCCTGCGGGTTGAATACTGAAGAAAATGACATCATGCAAAATATAAAATGAGCTAAATTGCACCACCTATACGCGACAAATGAAACTCAACGAGCTGCTAAACATCGTCACCGGATCTGCACATTTGCTGAAGCAGATAGAATGTGTTTATAGGCCCCTTGAGGAAACTTGTGCATCTTCTAAATGACAATCACTTGCACAATTGATCATATTTGAATATTGTAAAAATACCCCCTTATACATTAAAATACACGCTAACATATTCATAACATGCATATATTTGCAATATGAGGGATGCATCATACAAATACATCACTAGAAAAAGCGAGATACGCCACGTTAAGGTGACACACTGCATTAACATGCAAAATGCATCGTGCATATTTACGTTGTAACACACAAGATTCATTACGCAAGTACACCATTCAACATGTAAAATGCACTGTCGTAATAGCACGCTGCGACGATATGCAAACACAACATGCATTACATGAGGACACTAAATTATCATTCAAGTGTATTACGCAAACAAGCATGCAATGCATGAATGCATTATACATACGTACATGCTAATACATCGTACGCCACATTAGTGTGCTAAGCCATTACACTTGTCATGCAAGCACGCTGAATAATGCGCAAACGTATATGTCGGCATTCATGTGTACATACAAACATACAAATACATATGCATGCATATTTTTACATGTAAAATGAATATGCGAATGTGTATGTGAGCATGTCGATACGTTGTGCACATCAACAACATTGCATACATACAACCACTATACAAGCACATCATGTAAAATGCATTTAAAGGCATATTTGCATGGGCCCTGACGAGCATGACACATGCATACACGTACGTTTGAGAATGCTACGCGGGTCAAAAAATGAACTTAAGTTTGAGTCTGATTCTCTGTCGACAAATAGACAGAGTCAACATAGCTTGAGTCATCAAACAAATACACAATCGTAGCACCGACTGGAGTATTTGTTTCATACGTTTATATTAGGCCATCAAGGCCTATTACAAGAAGAATTCGTTAACAAAAGCATGAAGCCGATGACAAACTTGATCCTCTATCAGTAAATAGATAGAGTCGACATGGCTTGAATCATTAAACAAATATATAGAGTATTTGTTTTATACATTCATATTAGGCCATCAAGGTCTATTATAAGAAAGATTCATCACCAAAATGATTAAATCTATATTGACTCGATCCTCTATCGGCAAGTAGACAGAGTTGACAAGGTTATGCCAATAAAGTGAAATTGCCCATAATTCCTGAAATTGCCAATAAAGTGAAATTGGTTGTCTATTTTAAAAATATTCTGCGAGTTTTCATAGTCCACAATTTGCTTGTTTGGTTTACTCAGCATAAATGTGTATTAGAAGCTCTCTGTGGTTCATAAATATTCTTCCATCCATTCCAAATTGCAACCTCAACTTCCTAACACTCCTCACGCACCAAAAACTAGAGGAAAAAGGATTTAAAAAGGCCTTTTTGCACTTGATGCGTGCCTTACCATTTTTGTTAAGACATGCATGTTTGAGCTTGAGAATGGATTGTTCCTTCTCACAGTTTTGGTTATACAATGTGAATATATATAAAAAAAATTAATAGTGATTCTCTATCTACCAATAGTTTTACTTTGTATCTTGGAGCAACTGTATGATTTGTTACAATTTATCAATTGATGCTTTTGTGATCTCTGTGTTCTATATGCTGAGCTCAGGACAGAACGAGGACTTTGTCATTTGGTAATTAGTTATTATTATTTTCACTAAGCTTATACAGTTATTTTCAGAGGCTGGCAATCAGAATGTTGTACGGTCCTGTTGTTCCTTTGATAGCTGATGCGACTAGAAAATCAAAGTTTATCAAGTGCACGGAGTCAATGTGGAAGTTAACATACTATGCTAGTGTGCAGTTGTGGGTAATTTCAATCCTTAAAAAAACATCTTGGGCCTTGAATACAAAGGAGTATTTTAACGGGTGGCCGAACCAGGATTTGGGGTATGAAAATTTTCCTTCATTCCTTATTTCTGTAGCAATGATAGCATTTCCTTATCCAGAGCTCCAGCTTGAGATTCTTATACTTTTCTAACCTATTTTGGATAGGTTGCCAATGAAGCTATTCTATATGTGCCAGTGTGGATTTTATCTTTACAGCATTTGTGCTCTTCTAGCATGGGAAACCCGAAGAAAAGATTTCTCTATTATGTTCTCCCATCACATAATTACTTCAGTTTTAATTGGATATTCCTACTTGTCAGGGTAAGCATTTCTGACCCCATGTTTTTTGGTTGTTTGCATGCTTCATTATCATGCGTGCTACTAAGTGCGATGCTATTAGGATAAGGGACCTTCCATGATTCCATCTCTGCAGTAATTCCGTATCCAGAGATGATTAAACATAATTGCAAGGTTTTGTAATGGAATCTTATATTTTCTTCAGATAAGTAGGCTTATTTTCATTTATTTTCTGTTCGCATAAAACTCCATTGTTTGACACTTAGTTTATGAAGGGTTGACAGCCATTCAAAGCATTATAGTGTTCATTCATGCTGCAATGACTGTTATATTTTCCTAGATCTTTGTTACTCATCCATCCATAAATGGCCTATGTTTCAGATTGTCTAGATTGGGCTTGGTTATTTAGGAAGGCCGTTTTAGATATTAGTTTTCATTAGGAAACTCCATTAACATTGATTTGTCCTGCATCAAGTGGCTGGGGATTGATATTTAAACTTCATGTTATGTTAAATAAAAAAAAAATCATGTTAGCTGTTAACAACACAGTACTTCTTCCTATGTATTTCATAATCTCTTCTTTCAAACTCATTAGAGGCAGACCTTTATATTCTTGATTCTGAATGAACAAAATACAACTTGTTATGAAGAATCCATTCTTGAAGCATACATTTGAAAATTTTCTTCACCTGTTACTGATGAAGCATTTGCTCCCATCAAAGGGTTTAAGTTCTTATTCTTCGCATACAATATTGTCACTATTGCTGACGAAGTTTCATTGCTTATTATTTTATGATTGGCTTAAAATGGATTCTTTTTGTTAAATATAGTTTCTTCCGCATTGGAACTGTAATTCTCGCCCTTCATGATATGAGTGATGTATTTCTAGAAGCAGCCAAAGTTTCCAAGTACGCAGGGAAGGAGATGGCAGCTAGCCTATTTTTTGCTTGCTTTGCTATATCCTGGTTTTTGCTGCGACTAATATTCTTTCCCTTTTGGATAATCAAAACAACAAGGTAAAAAGCACTATTCTGATGTTAATATTAACTTTTCTTCTATATCCTCTTACAGTTCTTATTGTTGAGTTTTCAGTTACCACTCTATCGAGTCATTGATGAAGCCAGGCCTATTTCCTAGATCATCATATTATATTTTCAACGTTATGCTTTTAACGCTTTTGGTATTCCACATCTACTGGTGGAAACTCATATGTGCAATGATTATTAGACAACTACAAAATCGAGGAAAAGTGGGGGAGGATATTCGTTCAGGTTAGTTTTCTTAAGATTAATAATTTTAGACTCTTAGTGTTTGTTAAGCTTCAAATTGTATTCTCCATTTTATGGTAAAGCAATTGAAGGCACAAATTAATGAGAAAGTGTTTTTATGTGGGGTTGTTCTAGATGCTGAAGCCAAGGTTATCTCAGTAAGCAAGATTCTGCGGTGGTAAGAAACTCTCAAATCACGTCTTAGGTCCCATTCTGATTGCTTGTAGATCCAAATTATATACTAAAAAAGTTAATGAAATTTATTATATTTAAAAGGTTTACTAGATGCAGGGGTGGAACCCCTGTGATCAAATTTTTTTTTTTTTTCATTATACGATTATTTAGGTAATTTGATCCCCTCAATATATTTTTTAGCCTTTATTATAAGGGTTTTTAGGTAATTGCCCCATCCCCCTAAAAGTTTTAAAATACTATGGTCTTTAGGCATTTGCCTCCATTATAATTAAATATATTGTGTAGAGGTGTTATTGGTAGGGAATGATGAATCAAATACAAAGAGAAATAGTAAATCAAAATTTGTTCAGGGGGTGCTGCCCCCGGTAACCACCGCAGGGGCGCTGCCCCTTGACCCCACGACCCGACCGGGTCGAATCCGCCAGGGGCCGCTGCCCCTCTTGGACCCCGACATATCTGGCAACAGTTACGTATAAATTTGCCATCCCTCAAAATTATTATTAGTTCCGCCCCTGATCTAGAGACCTTTTTTTTATTGATGACCTATAAGAATTTCCCTCTTTATAGTACTGTCAGGTCGATAGAACTTTCTTTTTTTTTGGGAAGACGATAGAACTTTCTAACATTCATCAAATCCTTTTGCAGATTCTGAAGATGAGGAAAGCCGACAGACATGATTTGTAACAGAAGCCAAATATTAATTACTCTCTACTTGCATGTCTTCATTGGGAGTAGCATTCTTTCGTTCTTTAGCCTAACCTTTTGTTAATCCAAAAATATCATCGCCTACAGTTTCGTAATTTTGTTAATTCCTTCTCTCATTGCAATGTTGTTGACCACTAGTGATTGGAATATATTCTTATAGCATAGCAGGCAGTGTAAATTTGTAGGCTTCTTATTTGTTATCTCTCTTTTTATTTAAGGTTTCGTTTGGGACGATTTTCTTACTGTTTTTTAAAGCGGTTTTTTAGTACAAATTTTTTAATTTTTGTACTAAAAAGCAGCTTTAAAAGCAGGAAGAAAGCCGTCCCAAATGAAGCTTAAGTTTCGGTTTTGTTTGGGACGGTTTTCTTATTACTTTTAAAAATAATTTTTAGTATAAAAATTTTTATACTAAAAGCCTTTTTAAAATGTTTTAACTGTTCCAAACAAATCTTTAGTATGACTGAACAATATTTCATGTGGACCACACTTAGTAGTAGTTAGCATATGATGCCGCATTGATATGAAAACTTGGAATTACTTCACAAACTATGTCATCAATAGTTCATTTCAGTTGAAAGGTCAAAGGCATTAAAAGTCTGCTATATGATGTCTGATAGTAGGCAAATTATTACGTCCTGTGTTCGGATTCGTCCGGACACCAATTTAGATGTACCACGTCATCAAAATACATCGAGTCTCAATGTATCTGGGTGCTGTGGCGCATTTGAATTGGATGTCCGGACGTCCGGTGACCAGACGTAATAAATCGCTCTGATAATAAGGATATTTATTACCTTGAACTATGCTGTAGCCTATATTTAAAAATTGTTATGGTTTACATCTCATGACCTTTCCATTTGTTGAACTGTTCAAGTTAGATAATTTATTTATTTTGGTTTCAAATTAATATTTTAAATTTGCTTCAGTTTTAAAAAGTTTGTTTTAACATATATTGAAGAAATTAAAGATATTTTATCAGAAGAATTATGATATTTTGATTAAAAAAAGTATTTAGATTTTTTTTGGGATTATTTTCTTATTGTTTTTGTAAAATTGCAGTTAGAAATAATTTTTTAAAAATGCAAAGTAAAAAAAAATAAAAGCAATGAAAAAATAGTAGTCAAATAGAAATTATTGTTACCATCTAAAAAGTAAAATAACAAAATTATGTTTAGGGCTGCTTTTTTACTATTTAAAGCAGCTTCATAGTAAAAAAATAAAATTTTTGTACTAAAAATTTTTTTTAAGTAGTAAGAAAGCCATCCCAAATAAAGTTTTAATTTGATTGTGTTTTGTATACTTTTTCAATTTATGGCTTTGTTTGGGACGGTTTTTTTTTCTATTTTTTAAAATAATTTTTTATTTCAAAAAATATTTTTTTTATTAGAAAACTGTTATAATAATCATTAAAAAAATTGTCTCAAATTAAATCTATCAAATCATAGTTACCAATTTATTAAAAAAAATCCAAAATAGTCAAATCAAAACAAATTGAGCTTATTATTATTATTATTATTATTATTTTAGGAAGATATTTTCCCACCGTAAGCATAAAATTAGAATGGATTTTAAATTGATCCAAGCCAATTTCTTAAACAACAAGGATAGACTTGGACAGGCATCTTTTGTTCTTTAAAAAGAATATTCCTTCGAGAAATCAAATTGGAAAAATAGGCAAACTGATATTTAGATGAACGAAACACGTGTCAAGGTTTCGAACACTTAAAAATGGTTTTTTTTATTTTTTCCGTCAAATCCAATAATTAATTCCAATTTATTGGGGAGAAAAAATACATAGCATTCTGTCACTTTCAAAGTAAAGATGCAAGCCAAACCTACACGAGTTCTACGCTACTTTTGTTGCACTGTGTTCTGAACCATTACTTTATTTGGTGTTTGGTTAAGCCACGTTACATTCAGCTGATATTTTACTGTTAAATTATAAGGAAAGTCAATATATCAAAAAGGACAAATTAGCGATTTCAAAAGCACTACCAAATGAACTTTTATTTGGTCCGATCATCTGACGCAGCTCTATGTTCGGATGTCAGTAAAATAGTGCCACGTGTTCTCACTATTTACCGCGCGGCCCGACAACCCCGACCCGGAACAGACGGAATTGCTATGTTCGCGTGTTGCTAGGTATTGCTCGGTATTGGTCGATTTTGCTCGGCAATAACGAGAAATACCATTTTGTTAAGACCATACCGAGCAATCGGTATTGGTCTTCACATAGCGATATTTTTCATTATTGCCAAGGAATGCATAACAATACCGAGCAATACCAAGTAATACCGAGTAATACCGAGAGCAATACCGAGCAATACGCGAACATAGCAATCTCGGGTCAAGTCGTCGGGCCACGCGGTATTGAGTAAGGCCACGTAGCGACATGTTATTGGCGTCCAAACTTGGTCGATTTTGCTCGGCAATAACGAGAAATACCATTTTGTTAAGACCATACCGAGCAATCGGTATTGGTCTTCACATAGCGATATTTTTCATTATTGCCAAGGAATACCTAACAATACCGAGCAATACCAAATAATACCGAGCAATACCGAGAGCAATACCGAGCAATATGCGAACATAGCAATCTCGGGTCAAGTCGTCAGACCGCGCGGTATTGCGTAAGATCACGTGGCGGTATGTTATTGGCGTCCAAACGTAGAGCTACACCTGACCTAATAATTGTTCCTACCAAACAGTTATAAAAGCTTTCTAATTATTTAGAAGTTGTGTAAGTTATATGGACTCGATGACCCGACAACGAAAGCAGCACTAACTGATGATTTTAAGTTCAATGTATTATTTACATGGACAGCTTTGCTACAAAAAACATGGACGCATAAAGCCCACGATAATTTATTCTACAGAATAAAAACTTTTTTTTTCTAATCATAAATTCTGTTTTATTTTCTAAAAAATAAATTTAGAGAAAAAATGCATAATTTGTTCATTCAAATCAATGTTATTTTTTGACTATTTTTATTACAACAAAAAAGTCTAATAATAAAAACAGCCATAATCTTGATATAAATTTGAGAGTAGAGCACACAAAAGAGTAGAAAACTCAAAAAGAAAAATTTATTCCAAAAGCTATGCACTTTGTGTTACAAGTGATATTTGATTTATAACAAAAGAAAGAGATTAAAATGCACAAACCTGCCTCTAAATTCAAACATATCATTATTATTTTCATATCTACCATCATAATCTTATATTCACCATTATTATATCTACCGTCATTTTGAAGTGTTTTCAAGAATAGAATCCATATGGTCATAAATATATCCAAAATTTAGTAGGGATCTTATTTTAAGGATCTATTATAAGGGGTTCTCGGCCTCCTTTATAAGTGAGAAATAAGATCATTATGTCCATTTTTATTTAGATTAATATAAGGAACATTCGAGGAATTTACATTTAGATTTTTCTTTCTCATCCGCTACTAATTTCCTTATTATGGTGTAAAGCAATATGGAAATTTGATGGATGAATTTACAATGAAGAGTGGAGTTGGGAACTTAGGGAGAGAAGTCTTAGTTCTGCTATCATATATCTCTTTCTTATAAGGATGCTAGGGGTCCAAGAAGAGAAACCTTTAGCTTTCCTAACATTATTAGAAGATAATTTTAATTTATTATCAAGAGAACAAATAAAATGAACAATTTTCTTATATTCATTATTCTTAGGAGATATAAAAAAAAGATGAATTATCAATACGAATGATGGATACAACTTGTCCAATAGACCTGGAAGCATACCACAAAGTCTCATCATGATTGATAATAACATAGGAATAACAAGAAAAATCTTGTAGGACTTATTAGGGTGATAGCTATCTTGGTGATAAGACGTTAATTATAAATAAGACATTTTCCCCTAAAGTTAGGAGAAGACATGCTTCATCTTCTTATTTAGTGTGTGAGATGCCTTACTAGTAATCTTCACCGTGATAATAAGAAGATATGCAATCCTAACTAGTGAAATAGTGTCTTTCTATATAGAATTAGATAAAAAAATCAACATGATTCTTAGATATGGGGATTTGAATTTAGAATAGAACCAATATGAAAGCTATAAAAAAGATTGTATAAAAAATTTTGATTTTATCATCATGTACATCTCTCCAAGTATATATATATATATATATATTATATATATATATATATATATATATAATTTTTTTTTATAAATTTGTTCGAAGTAGAAGGCTCAGTGCCGCACTATTTACGCCTCCGCTTCACGCATCGTGAGGTCCGTTGTAGTATCCGCCACTCATCTTTACCATTTTCTCTCTTGCAAAATCCGGCGCTACATCCCGGGAAGTCGCCGGAGACCAGTGGCTCGTTTCGGTTTCCCGGTTCCAATGGATCCCCAACGAAGGCGGCTGCGCCTACAGGCTCTTTCTCTCTTCCTCTTCTACTTAGTGCTCTCCGTCCACTGCGTCGACCTAAGCTGGGGGAAGAAGAAAAAGCACGAGATCAAGGGCCCAATTAAGACGATTGTTGTTGTAATCATGGAGAACCGCTCCTTCGACCACATCCTCGGCTGGCTTAAGTCCTCCCGGCCGGATATCGACGGCCTCACCGGCCGCGAGTCTAATCACATCTCCGCCTCGGACCCTTCGTCGTCGGAAATCTTCGTCTCTAATGACGCCGTGTTCATTGATTCGGACCCCGGCCACTCTTTCCAGGCCATACGAGAGCAAATCTTTGGTTCTGCGGATACCTCCCTCAACCCCGCCCCCATGAACGGCTTCGCCCAGCAGGCGGCCAGTATGGGTGAGGGCATGGATCGCACCGTGATGAGCGGCTTCGCTCCTGAGAATGTTCCCATCTACACCGCCCTCGCAAATGAGTTCGCCGTTTTCGACCGCTGGTTTGCTTCTGTCCCGTCTTCTACCCAGCCCAACCGCTTCTACGTCCACTCTGCCACTTCCCATGGCGCCATGAGCAACGTCCGCCACGACCTCATCCACGGATTCCCTCAAAAAACTATATTTGACTCGCTTAACGATGAGGGGCTGAGCTTCGGCATATACTATCAGAACATTCCCGCAACACTCTTCTTCAAGAGTCTAAGGAAGCTCAAAAACGTCTTGAAGTTCCATAACTACAAGCACACTTTTAAATTGCATGCGAAGTTGGGAAAACTGCCGAATTATGTGGTGATCGAGCAGCGCTACTTTGATATTGAGCTCTTTCCAGCTAACGACGACCATCCCTCTCACGATGTGGCTCGTGGGCAGAATTTTGTGAAGGAGGTCTATGAGACGCTGAGATCAAGCCCGCAGTGGAATGAGACGGCTCTGCTCATCACCTATGATGAGCATGGGGGGTTCTACGATCATGTTCCAACCCCGGTGGAAGGGGTGCCAAGTCCTGATGGAATCATTGGCCGTGAGCCCTACTACTTCAAATTTGATCGTTTGGGGGTGCGGGTGCCAACCTTTCTGATATCCCCTTGGATTGAGAAAGGGACTGGTGAGTGACCTAGTCTTTATAATCTAGCTTTCATTTCTCGTTTTCATCTTTGATCTATGTTGTGAAGGATATGTGCTAATCCTAAATTGGCCTCAAGCTTGGTTTAGTTTGCCATCATTGACCTCAAGTCAAGCTTGATCATGAATCAAGTTAAAAAAAAATAAATTCTTGTTTAACTTTTGTTTATTCATTTTTTATCAAGCGTACCAGAAATCCAATCTTTCATCGAGTTTGACTAAATGCAGGTAAATAAGTTTGATTTAGAGAAATAACCTTCACCATCTAACCTAGATTATCCATATTCATGAAGCTTGATCAAATTTTATTTGAGTATTTGACCGTAAGTATTCCAAGCAATAATGAAAAGGAGTTTTCATAGGAGTATTTAGCTAGTGTGCTAATTTAACTATTACATGAACTATAAATAAGTATGTTATTAAGCTCTTATGGAACTACTTGTTGAATCAGAAATTAGCTTGTTCATGAACATAAACACTGATTTAACTAGGTTTGATCTTGTTCTTTAATATCTTTTAACTTTAGAGGATATGTGAGGCTTTGCTAAGTAAATCTATGCAAGCAAGCCTTAGGTTTGCTTTCATCCCTACTTTAATCTTTGGCGGCTGTTGTGAAGAGATTTAATTTTCATAAGTTGTTTTTTTTCAATTCTTTGTTTCCACTTATTAGCTTTACCAAGGATAAAATCTTGACTTGAATTGGGGAAGTGTTTATTTCTTTTTTATTCAGAAGGGAAGTTCCCCTTCATTTGAGTATTTTTGCAGTAATTGATTTATTATTTGGCTTCTATTTCTTTTTGACATTAAGCATATTGCCAGGTATCTCGTTAAACTGTTACATTGTAGCTCTTGGTCACTTCTGATTTCGTATATGTCATTGTTATTTGTTTTTGATGGGCAGGACAAAGTTCTATAGTCCCCAAGAACATCACTTAGATTTATGGATAATTCATGATTTGGTTTCAGGTTTACCAATAAGGTGGAGTTTTGTCTGTTAGCTTTCATTTGATTCTTATTGTATATTGCTGGAAGGCACTTTTCCTTGCAATACTAGTCTGCTTCATTTGATGCCATTGCCTTAGCCAATTAGTATTAAAGGTAAAAAAAACCACCCTTTCCCAAAAGATGGAAATAAAAAAGACTTCAATTTGCTGTGACTTGTTTTCTATTCTCTTTCATTATGGAATATGAACATTTTTTAGCCACTTATGTAAAATGAAGTGTGATATAAAATTGAATTGTCTTCGTATTTGAGTTCATTGGTTATTAGTTTATTACTTACTCTTTGTTTTTTTTGTTTTTTGTTTTTGTTTTTGTTTTTGTTTTGAAAGGAAATCAAGTTTCATTCAATGGTTTGTCGTAAAGATCATCCTAGGATCTTATGGCCTAGGGTTTCTTGATGCAATATCATCTCTTTGCTTGTCCCGGAGCACTTTTTTTTTTTTGTGATGGCAAAAATTTTGATGTTTTTATCAAATCTTCCCTACTTGGAAAATCTGTGAATTTGATCAATTGGTTATTAGCATTCATCAAGCAAATCTAATCATAATTATTGTTCTTGTCTTACAACAATCCATAAATCATTTCATATAGGTATATCACAGTAAAGCAAAAGTGCCTATGATATTTATTATTAGTAGTGATCACAATCTCATTATATTTGGAATAAGATGTATAAGAACTATTTAATAAAGTGTTGGATGTGAATTTATAAAGAGATGAAAAGAGAGAAGACTCCAAGACCTTTGTAGTGGGTTCTTTAAATGAAATTAAATTAAATATATTTAAGACTAGAATAATGCCAAAACTTCCCCTAATCTCTAACTTACAAGTATTCACTCAATGCATTGCAAGATTTTATGTGGTCCCTTCTATTAATAGTCAAGCTCCTAAAGGTTTCTATAGCAAATATGTTTGGATTTAAATGTATCATTATAATTTTTATGATTAATAGTTAGTTTTATGCGAAAACTTTTATATAAATCAGGGAAATTTATAATTTGATATGCGGCAAGAATATTTTTATGCTTCTTAAATAATGCTAATTAATGCACTATAACTAATTTCTAGACGAAGATAATGATGAATAAAAATTGAAAACATACAAATCACATGAATTTGATTTGTTTATATAGACAAACAACCTCTTGAAGAAAACCAACTCAAATGGCTTCAATGTATAACATGATGATTTATTCACATTTAGATTTGACTAAATAAATAGAATTTTAAAGTTCAACTTTTGTTTTAACATTTTGTCATTAACAAATTATTTGAAATGTTAACGCAATTTTAATTTCTCCCCGATGTTTCTTTTATGTATTTGTATAGCAAGTTACTTCAACAAGTCATGGAAGTGACATCAGTTATTATGTATTATGCCTTGGACCTTTTGAATTTTTATTTTTACTAGGGTATGCAAAATCTGAAAAGATTTTTCTTATTTATAAGTTTGAATTTGTAATATACATAGGCTAACCTATCTTTTTCCCTTTTGCAGTTATTCATGAGCCCAACGGTCCTACCAAAAGCTCAAAGTTTGAACATTCATCTGTCCCCGCAACAGTCAAAAAGCTTTTCAATATGAACTCGAATTTTCTCACGAAGAGGGATGCATGGGCTGGAACTTTTGAAAGCTACTTCTCTCTTCGAAAGACCCCTCGAACTAATTGTCCAGGTTCATTTTTTTGGTTGCATGAATGTGTGCATACATTCTCTAATATGAACAAAAGCACAATAAGTATAAGACCACTTTCTGAAAGCAAACACAGAAGACAAACAAAGCTTATTTATTTATGTCGTGTGTTAATATCGTTTGTTGCTCATCATACCGTGCATGCATTTTATTTATTTATTTTGTTGGTAGTAATTTTCTTTATAATATTTGATTTAAAATGTCATAGATCATTTTTTTTATTTTGATTTGTATGATGTTTGTTAAGTAATAGTATAATATTGTGTCATATTTCTTGTGATAGGTGCGCTTCAATTAATTGAAGTGCCTGTGCTTTAAAGCGGATCCTTTTGCGCATTACTTGTTGACAACCTGATGGACCGGACCGGCCGGTCCATCCTGCATCCGCACCGGCCCACAAGGGGCCGGTTCTCGCCTGTTACAGGCGGAGAAATCACCCGCCTGGGCGTTTGGCCGAAGGAGAGGGAGGAGGCGGGTGGGCCCAAGGGGCCCACCAAATGTAAGTGGGAGTTTGTTTTGTTTGCCCTAGGGGTAATTAGGGTATTTTGGGGGTTTCATGTGAGGGTTAAAGGGGAGTTAGGGTTTGTTGGAGAGGGATCTTGTTTTGGTGACTGTTTTAGCTTTCTTCTTCTCTAGGGCTTGGGAGAAAGCTTCTCTTCTCGAATTGAGAGCATTGTATCCGTGGAAACTTGTAAGTCTTTTGATATTCAAGTTATTGAAGTGTTTGTGAGTGTTTTCATCCAAGAAATTCGCCATTTTTTC